AAACCCCAACGTCTGTAGTCCATCTTGGTCGTCGAAGAAACAAGATACATAAATCTGAATTACTTGTGAATGTCTTGCCATGAAGGGAAACATGAGGTTGACTCATCACTGTGGTGCGGCTGTCGTGGATGGAGTAATTCATGCCATGTAATGCATCTTGGGGATATTTTTTTAATGGTGGGTTATTTGATGACAGCATAAATATATTGTATTATGAAACGTAATAAAAATTAACGCCATTTTAAAATATGGTGCAAGTTCTAATGTGTCTAGCTAAGTATTCAACTCCAATAAATCTACACTAGTTGCACACAAAGAGATTTGAAAGTAAGCAAGATTGAGATATGATGGGGAGGTCAAAGATCGCCGTGTTAATGGACAAGGCTCCATTATTATTTCGCATTTGGTACAACACATTGTTCCATAATTGACAATTGATTGAAGTTCATATTACAACCGTGTCGATCTCGTATGACGACACGTTTCGCTGAAAAGAAGTCTTTCAAATCATCACAAACGCTTATTCAGCACAAACGACCATTATTCAAATGAGATATTTTAAAGTTGAGAAATAGAAATATCGATTGATTGATGTTTTGCATATTTAGTATTTAAATTTCTAGTAAGTTATGTATGCACAAATTTAGTTTATGGGAAACATTGTTTAACTTTCTCGCTAATAAATTCGCACAGCCCGACAACGACCCCACACAAAATCTGGTACTAAAACATAATACGCATGGCATAACCATATGTAGTCGTAAATATCTTTCCCAATTGTGTTGTCCACTTCACGGGTTGGGAAAAGGTGACCAAACGCACATTTCCTAAATTAGACTCAGTTCCTCCATCCAGTTCTCCCTGCGACGAACAAATAGTCATAAATTTCCTACCAGCCAACAACACAATGTTCGCATGTACATGGATACGTTTTCACTGAAATTGGAATGGGATTTGTCCCAGACTCGGTTTCCAACACGGTCGGACAGATTAAATTAATTTGAGATCAGATAAGTACACAATTATCCTCGTGGTCAACCAATCCTCCACAAAACAACCACCGCATGCATGCTCATGTTTATTGCATATTAACAACAAACCTGAGAGAATGCTTTCTTTTTGTGTGCCCACAAGCATTGCATTTGGTTTGAGTAACATGTTTAATTTCAACTCTAGACTAATCTCCACAAAGAGGAAAGAGTTAAAGATGAAATCTATATTGTTATTTTGTTCTGCAACTCTAAAACGAAATGGAAAAAGATGTTAGTTAAATCGGATCGTGTTCCGTTGTCGTTGGAGTTAGATATTTCACCCTCGCTTTTTTGGCTTCCTCCTCCTCCTCTTAACCCGACGACTTGAGTGCCATTATCTTAAGAGACCACCAAACAGCCAACATATTATAACACAAGGAGCAACATACATAAACGAAAAAATAATGGCACATGCATTTCTTAGAAAACAGATTCACAATGAAACCACTGCAGCATAAATTATGCAAAGAATTGTCTCCATTTCTGGTAAATTGCATCTCTCTGAACTTGAAAAGAGAGATATTGTGAAAAAATGGAGATTTTTTCATGTCATAAATTTCCATTTTAAATAAAACTGTGTGCGGTTAGTTGCAGGTGGTTTTTTCCTCGAGTCGTATTTATGATGAGTTATGACAATTTTTGTAAAAATCTGAATTACCTTAAAAGTTGTCTGCCAAGTTTTGACACGTATTTATTTACTCATGATACGCGTCGCATCGGAATTTTCATTAATTTCATACATTTCACTCGAAAAGTGGGCCAGCAGCAGATACGGCTACCGCACATCCTAAATTAAACAGAACCTCATCACACCCAAAACTAACCAACATTGCCGTATCATCATCATCCCAGGAACCATATCCTTTACTTTACACCAATTTAACCCTTGGGAGTGGTTACATCTTTATCAAACTTCCCTGACAAGCAGCCTCATCTCCTCGGCTGTGTGATAATAACGGATTAAATTAAAGCAAATTCATTCTGTTCGCTCTAATTTCACTCCTCTCACAAGCCGTGAAATCGAATCTGACTGACTGACTCGCTGTCTCAAAGGATAAGCCAGAAGTGTCACTTGATCCACATTTGCCATCTCCAAAACATAAGAACTACTTACTTCTTCAAAGCTGCTGAGCATCCAGCCGATTGAGAAAACTGCGACTCGAGTAGTTTAATTTTACTTTTAAGCATTTCGATTTAAACCCAATTTGTTGTAGAATTAATTGTAAGTTGAGAAGTGTGTAGCCAGAGGCATGCACTTTTATGTCGCGTTTAGAGCAAGTAAAACTCGCATAATAATAATATGACGGCTTGATGATGATAGAAACTGGGATGGGTACGCAGAACTAAATCCTCCACGATGAAGGAACGATATCGTTACAACCAAGCAGTGATCGTGGAATGAAATTATAATCATGGCCTGTCTCTCGCAGCAGTGTTCTCATCTCGGCGTGCAAGATATGGTGATGATGTTGCTTGTTTTACGTAGTGGGCACATAAGCAATAATAATAAAATATCGTCGTTTCAGATGAGATACTCAAGTGCACAGTAAGTCACATTGTTGTTGAAGCAGGGTGGAGTGAATTGCGAGGTGTGTGCACTTCATGCGAGGGATAATCTTGAACAATTAGATTGAATTCATTTTATTATTTAGGAGTCAATCCCAATAGTGCAGGCTGACTTATGTAAAAACCGTGTCTGACCTAACCTTAAGTTTTCGTGGAGATTGATAATTTAAATTCTAGACTAAACCACACCGCACTCGTTTCACACGCTGCTTCCATTCCATTTGTGGCTGAAATGCGCGTGGAATCCAGTTTTTCATTATTACATATCGTTAATAAACGGAAAGTAAATATCTACGAGGCTGCATTTAAGTGAGTCTGCGGAGGAATAAATGCGTGCAGTTGGATCGGAGGATATGAGTGATTATCATATTACATGAAAACTCACCAATGCACTTGACAGATCAAAGACCATTGTTGGCTGCTTGGTTTGTTGGTTCAGTTCAGCGGACGGAGTGATTTCACATATTGTTATCTTCTCGTAAGAATGGTTTGCATTTTTAGCATAAGAAGAAGTACATACGTGCATAAGAGAGTTGCATGGCTCACTGTTGTTGAACTTACAATAAAAGATTTGGTCAGACTTGAGTGAGCGAACAGTGCGCTTTTGGCAGTGGATGAATTATCATCGGATTCAATCTCATTCTTATAATTTATCCCGTGTGTGTTTGTGTGTACATTGTGTTTCTTCTCAAACGTGTGTGCAAAGTTCCTGAGTTTTGTAGATAAATAAACGTGTAAAATTGTTTCTAACTGGAGTATTATCCTGGGAATCGTGGTGCACTTTTTGTACGCGTTATTCACCCCTTTTTTGTGATATTAGTTGCTGATTTTGTGCTCAACTAACTAACATGATACGTCACGGAAACTTTAACTGATTAGACAAAGTCTCAGCCAGTAATAAAGTCTGACGGGAAGAGAGAGACACCACACAACAGGGTTCATGAATCTTGTTAGGAAGAATACTCTAATAAAAAAGTGCTTGTGTTGTTTTACCTCATAAATAGAAGACTTCTTCTTCGCTATGATGCAATAAAACCAAGTTTTCTTCCTGCACAAGTAATGTGGTTTGAATTGAATCGAGCTAATCTTAAATGTGCCCATCTTTCCGAATTAATTGTATTTCTTCCTTCTTCCCAATCTCGCACCTTGTATGGGTCGACTTTACGTGACTTACGAGACGACCAGCGTTTTAATGAGAGTGATTAATGTCATTGTACATATAGCGATTCTTGTCTCAAAAATATTGCACTTCAATTTTCTGCCGTTACAGAAATGTACTCCACTTAAAAGTAGGCATTGCATAAAACTAAAGCTAGATATTTAAACTCCACCCTCGTCGTTGCATACTTCACAAAAGACATATTGCAGCTCATTACGTCCAACACGTAGAAGTAGAAAGCAGGAAAGATTACGCAAATAAATCCCCATCATTTGCTGCTCTTTCCCCATATTTGTTTAGGAGAAAGTGCGTAATTGCATGCATCCACCAGGAGATAGTGCAGGCAGCAGGGTTGCATTAGCATTTTATGGACTGGCTGGATACCCAAGAAGAACAATGACGAAAAGAGTGGAGATGGCCAAAGTCAGATGGGACGACAACCTAGCTCCCTCGACGTGCTTTTGCTTTCTCAAACCTCTCTCCTCTCAAACAAATGACAATTCTCAAGTAGACTTTGCTTACATACGTGCTTGTAGATTGGTGGGTGGGTGGGTTAGATCGAGATGATGGGGAATCCAGCGGTGGTGGTGGTGGTGTTCCATCGCGTTAAAAATTCATTCATAGGAAATTGAAATGGGGGACAAGAGTTGTCGTTTATCTTCCGTTTTGGACAAGCAGCAAACTATGGACAAGTGCATCAAGTGATGGCTGCTGCTGCTCCAAAACGGGGTGCACATCCACGTCGATAAAACATTCTTCAACTATTCTTGACGTTTATTTGACAATTTGATAAAAAATGAGATTAAGAAATGTTTGTTTTAGACTCAGTTTTTTTAGAAGGAATAAATTATCTCGCTTCTTCAATCTTGCTTACTCGACTACTCGATATCAAATTGTACATGGTCGAGTGCCATTCGATTTCGATTTCAAAACTTATATATCTTGAGATTCAAAAACTCACTTTCATTTCCTTTTTGACTTGCTTGAAGTTAAAACTTAAATTTTCACCGAGAGAGAAGCAGGGTATCCACAAGGGTTGAAATTATTACACGACATCACCATCATCATCATCACGACGATGGGATAATGTATTTCTGTTCCTTCCTCTTTTTGGTCGATGTGGAAGTTGGGATGATGATGATGATTGTAATCAAAGGAGAAAACGGAGATCTGATGTTGATGAAGATTAATTGCATTTTCTCCCACGAGTTTTCATGCTTTTCTTTTTACGTTTTATTCCACAGGAAGTGTTCCAGTGGTTGCAAAGCCGGCTTCGGGGAGTAGTTCCAGGTCGAGTTCTCCTTCCGGTGGTGGTGGTGGTTTGGCACACTCGTTCATCCCCACGCCAAGGTCCTCCTCGTCCATCCCCTCCGCCCCTTCCAGCTGCAGATCCTCACTCCATGAGAAGCATCTCAATAATGCCAAGTAAGTACCGTTTTCGAATTTTATTTATTCCCCTCCCCTTCCTTCTCAAAACCACATTAGTTAGTGTGTGCGGCAAGAGCGTGTCGTTGTATAAAAAAATGCCTGAAAGACAGCATAATTTTGCTAAGTAAGTGAGGATGAGAGAGAGTTGTGTACTACATCCATAATTCTCTCGGGCTTCGAGTTCCGACTAGTTTTATGACCGGTTGGTTGGTTGGATCATGGATTTGAATTGTAGGCACAACTCGTGGTAATAAGTCACTCAGTAGTTGTGGCTAAATTGCCTCCGTCTCTGGCTCGAGGACCTGAGCAAATCTTTGATTACTTTCGTTTACCAAGTAGCCCAGCACAGCGTTCGGTGTGCTTTTCACGATAATAATTTTGAGAACCAGTTGATACAGAGGGTGTCCGCAGTTTATATGAACAGTATGAATTATCTTATAACTTCTGAACACGATGACTGTGAATTACTTTAACGATCTCAATGTGTTCTCCATTCTTCCTAGCAACAAGTCTGAGTCTTGGTTTCCAACTTCCAAACACATTTTGAGACGTTTCAGGGGAGACAAGATCCCATTCTTGATTTAGAACTTTCCAAAGCCCAACCAAAGTTCATGACTTCCTCTTGAAAATGCTTTGTTTCAGGCATCCAAACCTGAAAAAATCCATCTGACCCGTGTCAGATTACTGAATATGGACCTCGGAATAAGATGTCGAGGTCATTCCGGTTCTTTCTTATAAATCTTGGGCGTAATGCTGAGTTAACCAAGCAGTATGTGAAGATGCCGCATCGTTATGGATGCAAACTTTGTAAAGCTCCTCAAATTGCTTCGTTCGAATTTTGACCTCCAAAAACGTCTGTAAAGCACTCTCCATAAAGTGCTTCGAGTTAATTTTTGCATTAAACCCAACAGGTATCAATTCTAGCACTCCATGGTCCGTCATTGCACCAACCACCAGAAATCAGTCAGACAGCTTTTCCTTCTTTTCAGACCCATAGTTTGAAACCTGCTTCTGGTCGTTTCTGAAGCGAATTATTTTTATCCTGTTATAGTTTTGAAGGTAGCAGAGTGCCCCGGTCAATGTGACGACAAATCCGGAGTTTGTACTTCCAACATGACCTTCAAACAGCCTTCAACTGCTAGTTTTTTGTTTACAACATTGGATAATTTTAGTGTTCCGAATTTCGCCTTCCTAAGGACTCCTTTTTCAAAGTTGTGATTTATAACACGATTAACGTGTTCAAGAGGCATCTGGGATTGTGTTGTGACCTTTGCTTGGTCGGAGGATTCTCATTGAGAGGGAGGCAGTCATTTTGCTTGAGGGTGAGAGAATTCGTCGTTTTGAGGGGTATGCATTTTTAAATGTACATTGGTCGGATTTAACTAATTACCATCGTTTTCTTGCAAAATTGATGAAGGGATATATGAGGGACACGATAAGATGGGTTTCAGATTTTTGGATAATCGTTTGGGCACTTTCCGCGGCCAAATTAGCTTCGGAAACCGCTTTTACGCCTCCCCCCACTTCGGGGTCACTTTTTGGGGCCAGCTTTGCAGATAGAAATTTGAAACTTTGCACAGCTGTAGTCATGACCTTCGAGTCCGTGCTTGCCAAATTTGGCGCCAATTGGATCATCCGTTCGCATGTTACCCGTGTAAATCTAGTGTTCATATAATCTACGGACATCCTGTATTTGCGTGAACGTGTGTGCGTGAATGTCTCGCCGAGAGTGAGTCCTATACTCCATTTCACTTCCTCCTCTTCATCGCTATCCGATAACTTAATTAAACTTGCAGGATTCCGGTGCGTAAATTATTGCCGGAAAGAGTGGAGTGGAATGGACTTGGGTTTTCGAGTGAATTAGTTAGTTTCACATTGATCAATGAGCTCAACACAATAATCCGACAACCCCCCGGTGACACTGTATTCCTTGTAATTTCCTCAAAAGGCAGGAATCTGTAAAAAGTGCGATTCAAATATGAATGAAAATCCATGTCGGCGTGATTCCCTCCAATTTGTAGAATATTTAACAAATTACTCGCACAAAGCGGTATGATTTATTCACTTTTTTCCACAGAAACTCTTCCATTGCGGGACCATCACCTTCCACGAGCAACAAATCTTCGTCATCCGTTCGACAAAGTTCCGTCACCTCGGCTTCCATCCACTCTTCCAATTTGACCAGTGCGTCGTCCAATGGTTCACCGGGTGGTGGGGTCAATGGGAAAAATAACTCGTCCATGCTGGAAAAGTTTAAATTTTTCAAGGATAAGGACAAAAGCGAGAAGTTGAAAAGTAGGAAAAAAATTATGTTGTATTTAAGCATGAAATTTGAGTGCAGTCAAACTGTCATAAAAACTTATGCCGAATTTTGTGTTCCGTCAGCGTCTACAGGTTCGAAACGAACTTCCAGTTCGAGTGGGTTCAGTTCAGCGAGGTCAGAAAGGTCCGACTCGTCCGTGAGTCTTTGCAGCGACAGTAAAACGTAAGAACTTCTTCACCACCACCAAGTTCCCAACGTGTATTCGTTCTCCCCCTGTTTTACGAGGATTGTATTAATTTACGCTTCTCCTCCTTTAATGACGACGAGTTCGGTTTCGTAATGAAGCCAAAAGTTGTGAATGAATGAGGACTCTCATTTATTCCTCCTCATAACATTCCTGTCGTGTCCGCCCAATGAGAGATTTTGTGTACTTTATTGTGTTTTCCATTCCCTAGTAATGCGCCTCAATGAAATTTTATTGGATTAAATTAGGGGCGAAGGGTCCGCGGATGGCCGAGGAGTAATTTACCACGAGAGGGAGAAAGATCATTTCGGAGGATATAACGGGTCCATTATTCCCCAATCATCCGTCGTCGGTCCATCTGGAGACTCCTCTGCTTCCACTCCTCGCCTCGCAATCAAAGGTTTTCGCCAAAAGATTGGAAAGGCCATCAACTCCAACTCGAAAGAATCCAAAAATCATCACAGTCATCACCAGTCACCAAAGTCGTCGAGGAAGGACGGCGAGGTAAATTCGGGACCAAGTGGAGCTTCTTCCTCTGGGAAAGGGTTTCCCAACCGACAACAAAGGACCAGTTCATCTTCCGCAGAATCTCAACAACCAGAGAAGCACGTTAGCAGTGGTGGTGGTGGGGGTGGGGGTAAGGAGGGTCGGGGAAAGTTAAGTGGTGAAAGTGGTGGTAGTGTTCCAACGAATGGTGGTCAAGGATTCTTACGACAACCTAAACCGTCCAGCAGCAACAGTCGAGATAACCGGAATCGCTTCTCAGGAACGGGAATACCCACTCGAAACAGTTTAATTGTGACGAACAATAGCAGTGCGAGCAACTCGAGGGATGAATTGCTACATCCGTACCATCACTCGTCCAACGGATTGGATTCTGCTGGTTCCAACAATAGTGTTCATTCCTCCATGTCTTCAATCAACGGTGGCAGTCTTCTAGGTTCGAATAATACGGGAATACCCAAACCTACCGCGGCAGTGAAAGGCACCTCCAAGCAACAAAGTCAATCGAACATCAAGGAGGAGAAACTTCTTTCCACCTCGCTGTCAAGAGAGGCATTGAAAGACTGTCCAACTCTTGGAAATGCTTCACTAACCAGGAATAGAAGAGGGATGGGAGAAAGCAGTAATGACACCAACTCCGCTACTCCTTCTCTGGAACAAGCCGAGTCAACAAACAAGTCCTCGCCTGCTTCTGCCGCAGACTTGAAACCTGGACCAGCGTCAACAGCCCCCAGCTTTTCCAAAGCGAAAGGCAATGTTTCCGAGGCAGGTGGAGGAGGAATGACGACCAAAAAAGAAGATGACAAACCACAGATGGAAAGTGGTATCTCGACCACAAAACCTATCGACCCATCCATCACGATAGCAATGGTGGCTCCGATGCAAAGCCTGTCCACGTCCACCTCCGTGTCCAGCGTGGACTCGTCGTCCCAGTCATTATCGCAATCTCAGATGTCATCTCATTCAAACTCGTCTGAAGCGAGTGTCATTCTTGCCAAAGGTTTGCAACATCAACTCCTCCAACAGAAGCAAAATATTGCAAACTCTCCCATGAAAAACGGAGCAAACAGCACAGCCACCGGTCTGGCCAGCTCGAATGCTACCAGCTCCATGACGATAGCCCAAACTCATTCCGTTTCCGCTGCCACAAACAACAAGTCAGAAGGAAGAGAGCTAATAATCACTGATGAGAGTGGCCCGAGCACGAAAGTGAGCCCGATGTCAGTCTTTGGAGGTTCTGGTTCCTCCTCGATGGGAAGTTTGAACAAGTGCGCGTTGGAATCGTCCTCCGGCGCGTCTTCCGCGGGGGACCTGGGCAGCAGTGGCGAACTGCGGAGTGGTTCTTCCGGAGCGAGCAGTAACCGTCCAAGCGTCGGAGGCTTGTCTCCAAACAATGGGAACAATGAAGCAATTCCAGAATGTGACGAGGACGACTTGCTCCTCAACGTCACTCCGATGGAGCCCATGACCTACGAGTACATCAAGAGTCCTCCCAGTGGACATCAAACCCCCGGATTTTTGTCACCCAAGAGTTCCAGCGGAGTGAGCGGGGGTGGAATTCATCTCGGAAGGATTGGTATGTTCAGAATATTTTCATTACGAGTCTCTTCCTCGGAAACACTGAGATTTTCATTAGCTTTGTGCTTTTCAATTCGAGATCGGATTTGGAATCAAATGAATTGTTGTATAGGCAAATGTACTGCTTTCTCCTGAGCTGGGAAAGAATGCCTTGGGTTCAGAGGGAGAGAGGAAGAAAGCAGTAATCCCATCACCCCTTCCTTCTTATTCCTTCCTTGCTATTTACTTACGTACATACGGAGAGGATTTAGTCGTGCATTCTTTCAGAAAGATGCTCAGATCAAACCAAGATGACATTTTTCTGTTTTCGTCGTCTCTGATACGATTACATTTGCTCAAATGGTGTACATGTGCTCTCTTCTCCCTCTCTTGTTCTCTTCTTCTTGGGGTTCTACTTATTTGCCTATGGCTGTTTTTGGTTGGGAAAATATTGAGTCATTCATGGATCAGAACTAGGATTTTGGGTGGATTAGTTCTTTTTTCCCCTTCACCTTTCACCGAGCTTTCACCCTTTCTTAATCTACGTCAGAGTGAAAGCGGAGAAAAATGTATGCATACATGATTTTCCATTTCTTACACAATTAAGTTCAATAATGGAAGGAATATGCTAATGAAAACCTGACCTGAGAGATTTGCCCGACACGTTTTTCAATATTGACTCGTGGTCTCACAGGTCCCTGCAATAACGGGAATGGCAGAATCCTAAACCGTCCCTTTAACCCGTACGGCGACCCTGTCCGCCTCATGAGGACTGACGGTGGTGGGGGAGGTGGTGGAAACGTCAAGTATGGAAATCGTCAGTATGCCGCATCCGTCGGGGAGAACGAGTACTCTGAGATTGACAACTACGATATCAACGCTGGGGGTGAGTTAAAAGAAGCCAGATTTCCGATTCGACTACGCGTCTGCCCTCCATCGGCACGCTTTCAAACTTTCCGGCTTGCTTTTCCCAATCGTTTTCTCTTTGTTCACTTTTACCCGTCGTACTTTCACCCGGGTTTCATAGAGATCGTGACTGCATTTTGGCAGCATATTGTTTTGTCTCAAATTCCCGGGTATATGTACACTTTTCTAATGCTTTTCTGCTTCTTAGAAAATATCTATACTTTCGCAACACACTGCTTTGTCTCAAATTCCCGTCTCTTCCCGAGTATACAATTTTCCAATGAATTCCTGCTTCTTAGAAAAGATTGCCGCATTACGTAACGCAGTTGAGTCCTCTCTTAATTCTTAATCGTAGTGTTGCTTGCTACTTCGTTTTATGTAATTTCTTAAGGGAATCTACTCCCCTACAGTTGAGGTTTAATCTCGTTAAAATTACAGGATATCTCTCCGACGGAGATTTGCTCATGTCTGGAAGTAATGGGAATCGGTCTAGCAACAACGACGGATATCTCTCCGAGTCCGGTTATTCCCGTCGCCACCAAGCAAATTATAAGAATGAGGTAACCTCCTCCGGGAACAAGTCCTCGTTTCACCGTATAAATCAAAACAACAACAACAAGCACGGCCTCATACCGGAAGACAGGTCAGATTCATTTTCATTGTCGCACATATTGCTACATTTCAGAATATTCGGTCCTTTATTACTCCAAATTTGCCAAGCTTCGAGTTGAAAGACGGGTACAACTTGTTGTTATCATTGTTATGTAGCCTAGATATTGACATTTTATTCTTCCTGAAATATTTAGTCTGCTCTGCTGTGTGACTACATACACCTCACATTTGTCCATCCATTACTCTGCCACATGAATTTTCATCATGTTTACCTTAATGTTGTGCAATCACCCCATTTTCCGCAATGTGGCATATTTATTATCAGCTCCCGTAGTTAATGTGACACGGTTTGGTGGTGGTGGTGGCGGTGTGTTGTGTTTCTATACCGCTGGTGGAATGAACATCAAAACTTTCATCACTTTACTATCCCCTCTGGCATAATTACTTATTACTGTTTACCTTACTTACTTACCCACCCATCCATCCAGCAGATGCCTTGAATTAGCACCGAGCTGCCTGTTGTCTCCTCGTGCGAGAAATAATGGAGGAGAAACGAAACGAAATAGGTGAAACCCAGCAGAGAGTCAGAGATAATTCCAAATTCTGTGCATACTTACCTGTGCTAATCAGGAGTAAGGGGTACACTGTGTACACGGGACAAGTCAGGTTCTGAAATTGAAATCAGCAGTGGATGGATGCAAAGTGCGGCAAGCTTTCCTGGAAATGTAAATCGTATTGTTTCATATTCGCGAATTGAGGGAGAGGTTGGAGAGGGAAGGGAAATGATGTGAGGGTGCATCGTACCATGCCGTGTCATAGTGAGAGAGCAGCGTGGAAAAGGGGGAGAAAGTAGATGGATTGCCAAACCGAATTTGCAAAGTACCCAAACCACCGTAAACACTATTTTAGTTTCGTGAGATGTACATACATACATGCGTACGTACGTACGAACGTGTCGAGGTGGGTCGTGGGTGGGTGGGTGGAACGTTCGGACAGGATTAGTCACAAAATTTCTCTGAGAAAAACATTGCCTGCAGGAGTGCGGAAAGTGAAGCAGTTCTCAAACATTTCGCAATCTTGTACGTGCGTGAAGGAGAATTACTTAGCGAATAAACCGGAAATATCCGTCTAGAAGAGGTTAATTATTATAATAAATCGGATTTACATTGGTGTTATCGTGAAAAAGTTCGATTTTGTTTTCTCTCTCGGTCAGGATCAGAGTTAGATAAACTCGATAATTTAATTCCGTAGATTTTGACAAGTTTTGAGAATCCTGAAGGATTTCAGAGTGGTGACTACTTCACCTCCACCACCACCACCACGGTCGGTATTGACTCGAATCAGTTTTCTCTCCAAATGTGATCCATTCGTGGCGTGCTGTTCTCATACTGTCACCTCCTCGCAAATTCTATTAATGGGGAGAAAGTGAGAGTTAGTCAGCGAAGGTTGTGTGGTGATGTGATTTGAGATGAGCCGAAAAGTGCTTCGCACTCGAGAATCCCAATCCACTTCTTCTTCCAATTTAATCCAACGACGAGAGGAACGTCAACCACCCAGCTTTTTTCCTGGAAGCTCCAATTCTCCCACTAGTGATGTCATTCCTGGAAAATCGACGCTGAAAAACAAGTGTACGACGAGGTTCTACACCGATCAGTATGGCTCCATCCGTCGATACGCAGTATTTCGCTCACAGTAAGACAAAATAAGGCCAGTGTGTGTTTTCGCAATCTCAAAAAAGTTCATTAAGTCCAATCGTGTTATCGCCTTTCTTATCCACCTTCGTGTCGAAAATCCACTTATTTTCAATTACTTTCAAGACAAAGTAAAAGGTTTCTTGAATTGTATGTCAAGCAGGATTAAACCATCATGTTTCATTATTAATGAACAATCTTCTCCTCCGTGTCGCATTGTTCTCATTTAAAATATGGGTTTGCTTCTTACTCTGTAGATTCTGCACAATGTGTCGCGTACAAATTTAATTTGAATCAAGTACACTCTAAATCCTCAACAAGTCTGTGTAGATATTAGAATTCGATCCTGATCTCATCCTTGATGGTGATAGATTCGCTGAAATATTAATTTTTGAGGCAAAATGGACAGGCCTTTTTTGTCTGTACCATTTAAACCAAATTTCAAATTTTCTATTCTGAATGTCGTCAGAATGCTCAAAAACATACCATATTTCGCATAGAAATAAGAAATAGGTGAGAAAAAAGGGATAATATTATTTCAATAAATTCAATCTCTCACAGAGATTGTAATTCTTAACGGAGTACGAGCTTAGCTTTTACATGATCCTTTCATTCCTTTTGCTCCACACATCTCGAGAATCATCTCGATCACCTTGCTGTCACTTTCTCCCAGTTTTCTTGACTCAGTCAGTGACAGAGTAGAAATTGATTTAATTCGAACTCTGATTTGAACAAGGCCGATGGATGGATGGATTGTAAATATAATGCAAATTGGAGAAACTGCGTTCTACATATTTACATGTATCTTTCTGTCATTTGCCAATCACTTAACTTCCTCCATGCATATCCATCCGTCAGATTGGGTAAAAACGATAGGTAAAACGTGATCCTTGCACAAATTTGGCATGTCAGGTGTGCACAAAAGAGGAGGAAGAAAGTCCTTCCAAATTACATCTGCATATCCGTTCTGTCAGCTCCATCCATTTTGATATTTTAATAATCTTCTTGATTCCAACAAAGGAGCACGGAGACGAAGAAATGAGACGACGTACGTGCCCAGACCATCGGTTTCTTCTTTAGAGTCGTGCCCATTATGCTTTTTCATCCAATATCGCTCCCTCTCCATGCTACATGCCCGTCTCAGCAGTGCATTCATGTTCAAGACTACATTTTGCAGACGACAAAACAGCAAAGTCCGTGCAGTAGAAATTGTGGGGTGTGTGAGGGCTTTGCCCGAATGGGAAACTTGTCTTGTCGAGTTTGCAGTTTAATAATGATATTAGAGCGGAAAAGTTGGTTAAATTCTTTGGAATTGTGCGGATGTCAGGATGAGATAGGCATGTGGCAAGATGTTTTTTATCCCAGTCCGCAAATCCACCCCGACCAAGACGGCAGGATTAGTGAAAGTGAATAGTGAAAGTAGTCACGTTAGCATTATTATTATTATATTTAGCTAAGGCTTCCTCCCAGCTAAATACTCTTCGTTGATGGTGGGTGTCATGATCTCGTGTTTTTTAATGTCAACTATAATGGTCCAACTGGGAAAAATTCTAAAAAGACAGAGCTGCACTAAAAACTGCGGGGTTTGACAAATATGCAATTTTGAATATAAATTATAACTGCAATAAAGAACAGACCGGTTATTGTTCAAATATTTACAATATTTAAGCATATCCAATAACCGGAAAATTAGTTCACTAATTTGTAAATAATTTCAACTCGAGTCACATTTCCTTCCACACCCAATTCCATATTTCTCCACCTATTTATTATCCCTGCTGGAATTAATGTCTCGAATCACTCACTCCGTCATCCACGCCCATATTGCTCTCCGACTCCCGTACCAAGAACCAATTTTGTGTATAAGTAAGTAATTAATCGGCTAAACGCCAGAGATAATTGAGCAGCACAATACCACCACGAGGCAGTTGGCCAGGCTGAAGTTAGTCATTAGATTATGTCCGACTTTCTAATAGCTTTCATCTCCTCGTACATATGCATGTATGCAGGAGCACATTTGCATCTGGCTTTTTCACCCACCTCGCAACCTAACCCAGCCATAAATTGAAACTCTGCAGTGTTCCCTTATTTATTCGGATTTTAAATTGGAAACCAGTCCTCGAACGAGCTAGTCTTCATCATCTGCCTGCCGCCTACTCTCTCGGCGTCCCTGTTGGCCACTCTTCGGACCATGAGGAACTAATTGAATTTTCATCTGCCAACGACCCGTTGTCTTACTTATTCCAAGTAAATGGATAAATTAACCGATTAATTTGATTCAACTTCTCTCTTCACAGTGAGATTTCGACCATGTATCGTATCCACACTCTGCTGGGCCAAACTAGTCATTTGTTGTGTTATGGATGGGTGGATGGATGGATGGATGGGTGGGAGGTTTGTAGCGTGGTGGGGTTTAGGTTAGTGGATGCTTTAGTTTTGAGAAAGAAAGGAGACGACGAAGGGAGAAAGAGCGTGAGTAATAAAACTGGTTGGTTGGGGTGGATGGCAGTCGTCGTTGGGCAGAGAAAACCCCTAATTCATCGATCGCAAGTTTCGAGTCTGCTCCTCGTTTACCCTCCAAAGCTTTACTCTCAAACTGAATGTGCTGGGTAAAAATGCCCGGAATATTCCCCACGATCCGTACTCCCAGCAAAGAGGAAATCCACTCCACATGAACCAAAGGCAATGTTGACAGTCAACACTATCCCTTCGCTGGGGAAACAGGGACGGAATCGAGTGAGTGAGGGTGCCTGCCTGCCTGCCTGCGTTGTGTGTGATACCAAGAAGGGACGCCTGGTTCGTGCTCTGTTAATCCTTCGCCATAATAACGCCAGCAGTTTCGAATGGTTTCCTATATTTCGCAAATCTGCAATTTCCTCTCGAGTACAAGTGTAGAATTCTTCATAACTTGTGAAAAGTATTCAATTCTCATTTCTGCAATGTGTTAAAACTCAGAGATGATGACCAGTGGTGAACCAGATAAGAATTCCGTATCGAATTTTTGGTTTGCAATTTCGCAAAAGTGATTGGATTGAAGGAAAGTAAGAACAGAGTTGTGAACTGAGAATCAGAGTATAGTGAGTGACTACATTCATGAAATGAAGTAGTGAATTCTACCAGTTTTTGGGGTTTATCGGAATTTTCCACTGGCTCGACTCAGACTTTGTTGCGAAAAGTGATACAGGAAAGAAACAATGCTGCGAATTCCTGAGCTTTTACTCGGGATGGAAAAGCTGATCATTTTCTAAGCCGGAGATCTGAAAAGTAAGAACTTTTTGGTACATTGGCTGGATGATTGTATTCTCGAATCTCGTGGTGGTTGGAGAGAAAGTGCGGCTTCCTCAACGATCTGAGCGAGTGAATAAGAAGTCAAGCCGGCTGCTTTGCATTCCTCCCGATAAAAGATTTCGAGCAGTGTTCAGCCAGAAAGTCGATCAGTATTATTTCTTAAAAGATGGATAGCGGATACTCTGCGGAATTTGGATTCATTCTGAATTGCTTGCTTGCTTAGGATTAGTTGTTGAGAGTCAAGTACTCGTCATGTCAATATCGTGCGTAGCGTCCTCGCCCGCCGTACGTACGAGAGACCAACCGGGGTTTTGTTTTGAGAACAAAGTTGGTAAGTTTTGCTTTCCTTGTGCTTCGTGCTGGGCTGGCAGGTCCTCCTGGGAAAATCCCATCTGATTCATGTTTCTTAGAAGAGAAAGTAATACGGAAGCGGGCAAACCTTTCATCTCGCTCGTGAAATGGCACTGGATATTTTCCAAACACAATGCACGAATATGACACACTCAAAATAGAATGGATGATGTTTAGTCGGGGGAGTTTTACTCGCTCCTTTTACTTGATTTTCATCCCATCGAGTCCAAAGCTGTGAAAGAATGGATGATAAAGTTTAATGTTATGCAAGGCACTTCATTCTCGTAGTAGTTGTACATACGTACACATAGCTTTTCCTGTTGGTAGGTGGCTATTTCAGCAGTGTTTACTGCCAATGCAAGTATGTAGTTCATACTCATTGTTCCGAGTTGCGATGCAAATAAGCTTTTCTGACTAGAAAGATATATGTGCAGATTATGGTTATGAATAAGCCGTTCATAATTTAAAGAGTTTTGTTAATTTGAACCCATTTACTGGTAGAAATCCGCAACTACCTCCTGTAATTGTGGTGTAGCCTCCCACCACCCGGAGAAAGTTTATAACCTAACCATACATACAAATACCTACGTAAGCACGTTATTAAAGTGTATATAACAACCTCTGCTGCGTCTTATTTTTCTCTCTTTCTCTTTCTCAAACTCTTTTTTTTTGGAAAAACTGACGGAAAAGTAGATTGCTAAACGTTGCACAAATTTATCACGAGTAAATATGTAATCAACGAAGCGCTAGATGGGATTTTTTTTCTTTCCCCTGTTGCCTGCCCACTCGTCCATCCATGCGTAAATACAGACAGCCACTGGTTTTCCATTTTTACAAAGCAAGTTACCTTATCTTTCGTATAATAAATACTTTCCTCGTAAATAAATAAGTTCCTTTTACAGACACATGTAAATACATGTATGTACATAGGCAAAGATGGTTAAGACGATAAGATGCGATAGTCCATAAGACGGAGGAGTATCTAAGTAGGTGTCTGTCCTGTCTCGTATTTTTATCTATGCATGTCGACTTACTTTACTTTCACCGAAACGATTCGGTTCGAAAAACGTAGCAACCTGCTGTTTCTAGGGGCTTGTTTTCCCTTGTTATTATTTATTGACTTGTCTTCCACAAAATCCTCTTCTTTTTTTTACTCAACAGAAAAAAACAACTGTTTGTTAGTACTACTTAAACTTCACATCGCCCTTTTTGCATCGCATTGTTTGTCACGTTTAGAAAACAAATGGTTACGGTTATATGTTTTCCGAGGGAAAACTTCGCTGTCTACTCGACAATACGCTTTCTCAACTAGTTCCCTAATGAATAAATTATTCGCCAAACTTTCCACTTTGTTGGCATTAATTACCTTAAAAAACTCTGCTCTTCGACGGAATGCATATTACGTCGTTAATAGTTAACCAGATATTATATCACGAACTGATGATGATAAATAATATAGCTCGTAATAATAACTCTTGCCAGTTTTACCTCAAGTTTTACTTTGGAAAGTTGCTTGGTGGGTGGGTTTGGTTTGGTTTTCCAGTTTTCGGCCCAGACCATGGTCTCGTATTACTTACCATTGTATTCCTGGGCTGATTGACGGAGAAAGATTTAATAACTTTCTCCTCTACTTTGTTCACGGGCAGTGTTGCATTTCACGGCTGTCTCGCCAATAAAAGTTTATTACTACGATGAGTATCGACATAATCCAGTCGCCGTTATTATTACACAACTGATTAACTACTGACTCAACAACATAATATTTCCATTCACGGGGACGAGCAGAGAACCACTTTTATTGTAAAACTTTTCAAAAATCTAATATCTAAAGTTTTAAGCCTTCAACTTTAATTCTGTCCGACCTGCTGAATTTGAAGGGATAAAATAAATGTACATCCTATTCAAAGTTTTATTCAGAACGGAATTTCTATCTGTCAAAACGTAGGATTGTTCAAGTTTGGCTGATGATTTCAACCACTGACTACCGCATTGTTCCGCATCCGTAATAAAAAGCATCAATAACATAACGCATAACCCATCGTGTTGTATGTAGATGCATTTTCATATCGTATCATATCAACAAAGAGATAACGAAATGAACCCTTTGGGCCAAGTCCAAGAAGGGAAATAGGAAAGTTGGAAATAATAATATTGGTCGAATCTTTACTGCCGCCGAGAAGAAGTCGGCATCCACTTGACTTTTCTTTTCCCTTGCTGCGGCGACACGATTGAAATAAATGGAGAACAGCAGAACAACAAAACTTGTTCATCATAATGGCAAGAAAATGGACTATTCCAACTTTCCACATGATGTGCAAAGTAAGAAAATGAAGTAATGAAATTCGGAAATGAAGTGTCTTTTGAATTCCTCAAATTTTAATTAGGCAGAGACGAAGGAGCACGAAAATTCTGAACAATAGCGTTATTTAGACTTCAAACTTTGTACCGGATTTTCAATGAACCTTAAAAATTTAATTGACCACGAGACGGAGATGGATGCAAGAACCGTACATATGCACAAGGCGTAGGTGGCCTGTCTGGCTGGCCTTATCTTAAAACGGCGGCCACTTTCTCTGCCGCATACATTATTTACAACATTAAGTACTCCTCATCAATATTTATGGTGGTTCGATACAATCGCAAATACGCATTCTCAGCGTGTGGTACCCAAACGAGAGAGAGGGAAATTGGGAAGAAAGCAGTCGAGGTCGCATGAATTTTTTAACAAGCACCTGACGATCTTGATCCAAATGTAGCTGGATTTTTAGTTTTGCATACTACTTAAGTAAGTATTTTCTTGTAAAAGCTACTCTCACAAGGGAAAAGTCTTGGCAAATTAATCGTGCCTTATTCCAACCCCATTATTGCAACGGATCACTAAGTTTCAGACTTGTGAGGAGATTGTACAATAGCAATTGAAGCAAGGAATATAAATCGAACGGAAATGATACATTGTTTCCGAATGAAATGAAATACAACAGCATTCCTCATTTCCACCTTAATGGTCAGAGTTTTTCGATAAAAAAAGCGTGAAAGTGAGAAATTGCTGCTGGATTCTTATGTGAAGTTGCGGAGGAGAAAAGACGAGGAGAAAGTATAGTAAATAACAGGTTGTTGTTTTCTTCTTCAAGGTTGTCTCTTGTCGTGTCAAATTGTTTTACTTTGCTAAGAATTATTATCCGTCAGAACAGGATACGAGTATCTCTTGTTACGGATGATGATAAATGTCCAGGTTTCAAATGCCTCCTTCATTTCGTCCAAGCGTCATCATCGTAGAGAGAGAATCACTCAGAAAGCGAGGTTCCCTCGCCAATTCTTCTACTCGGACTAGTGCACATTAGTTATAAATAGAAAATCCGACAGAAAATATTGGCTTTTTTTGCACTGTGTTTGCTTACCTGCGAGTTTCGAGATGTTTTCGAAGTTTCGAGATGTTTTCGAAAATAGTTTGAGTTTATTTTCTAAAGACGCTCAGTGTCCATTAGGTACAAATATAACTTTGAGCACGTGCACATCACGGACCTCGGTACACATGCATTATACATAAATATATTGTATCAGCCTTAGTTTTAGATGACAATGTGACGACTTATTTATACATGTTGCTTGATGTTTATTTATTGCAATATGTACATAAATTGTGTGGGGTTGGGTTTCGTAATAATTTATAACTCTTGTAAATAATCCATTACCTAATAACATGGCATTATACCATTACTCCTCTCTCAATCCAATCCCTCTTTGCTACACAACAACTACGTCCAACTAACCGGAACAAATGTCTTTTAACAACCAATCTTTTAACCTTTTCCTTTACAGCTTTGACGATTCTAGTTCAATCTCCAGCGGAATTTCAGACCTAAATGAAATCCCAACTGATTTGACGAGCTCCTCTGTCAACTCAGAGTTATCCAGTCCTTACGCTAGTCTCCAGGTAAACTAACTACTGCCGTATTTAACCAACTAATCTTGCCTCTCTGTTAAGTATCTAATACTACCAAAAATTTCCTCCTCTAACAAAGCAAATAATGTCGTGGATGCTTTATTTGTTTGCCTTAACAGCGTGGCGGTGGTGATGGTGAAAGCATTTCTTCTGCTGCAGCAGCCGCTAACAAACTAGTCTGTGAAGAGATTCACAAGCAACTTGACCCTCAAAGCATCATTTACCGCGTGGTTGGTTCCCGAAATCGTCGATCAGGTTCCAAAAGTCCGGCGGATGCGAGAGTTTACCAGGCCGCAAAGTAAGTTACTCATGAATTCATGTGCTCTCAACGTATGGCATGAAGTTCTCACCGGAGAAAGTTCCCATATTCCCACGGGACCTAATAAACTCTCGATTGTTTAAGATTGAGACGGAATTGTCGAATTAATTGGCACTCTGATTGCACGAGTATAACGACGTATATCATTAAATTTGCATTTCAGTATTTACTAAATGTGTAAAATATGGTCGTTTCCAGTGACGCATAAATAAACCAATGTCCATCGCAAAATGTATTCAATCCTGAAAATCTCTCGAAAGAAACGATCTCTTTGTATTTTACAGCCTGCGAATATAATAATGCGACTGATTCTTTATTCCTCTCTTTTGTCGGAACTTTCAGATCGAACGAAGAAAGCGGTGGGATTTCATTAAGCGGATCTTCTCAGATAAAATCCAGTGGTGGACATCCGGACCAGCAGTCTTCCTCCTCCTCGAGGGGGGTGAAATATCATGGGAGCACCAACACCACCGGCAACGTGTCATCATCCTCTCCTCTTGGCAGTGGAGCCAACAATGGGATTCAGTCCGTCGTCTACTCTTTGTCCCAGCAGCATCTCTCGTCTGGACCCTCCTCGCACAAACGGTCTCTAAACAGTCTCGACCTCAAGGCAGCAAAGAATAAGGGAATGATTGGTGAGTTTCTCATTCAAATGACGCTCCAACAGCGGCCACCACACCATCCGCGGATTGGAATTGACGTGAAAGACAACTTTCTCTCTTCTCCATTCGTATCGAAGAAAAGGGACAATTTCATCTCATCTCAGAATTGCTCCCTAGTTTTTCACTTTGCTTACATACACGTTACCAAATTCTGTTTTTAATTCATGTTACTCATGGTTAAGTGAGTGTGAACATCATTTCCTGGCACGCGTAGGGTACAACAAGCGCTCTCCTCCAAAACTCAAACAAAAAACCGTTCTCTTCCTGATTGATTTAATTTGATTGGAAAAATTCGTTCATTCGCATCGTCTCTCTCCCTTTTCGTGAAAGGAAAGTTTATTTCCATCCGGAACAGATCTTTCTTCTTTTCTTCATCATTCTTCACCCTCCTCGCCTCGTCCTTCTCCTTCTCCGCGTGTACATTCCTCCCCGGTTCATGGTGTTGCATAAAATACACGCATTTCTTGAGGTAAAGTGGACAGGATATGTATGTGCATGGCACAAACTTGGTTTTATTTGACACAACGGGATAGGAAAGAAGGAATAAATATTGTTACAGGAGAGAGGCAGCAAATATTTAGCTTTGTACGTACAAGTGTTTCGTGCATTTATGTGCATTGTGCGTACTTACTTCTACTTCAGGACAAGGATTTCTTGGTTATTTATTAAAAATTCTTTTCAACTTTCCCCATTGACTTTTATTTGTACGAGGATGCACATCCTCACCACCACCAGAGTAAAATTGTAGAGAGTACTAGGGTTGCCGCGGGTAGCGAAAATGCTACCCGTTACCCGACCCGTTACCCGCAGCACAACTACCCGTACCCGCACGGGTACCCGTGAGGGTACCCGTTACCCGCTACCCGTTACGAGAATTAAGTTAAAACTAACTAACCTTCAGAATAAATTTGATTTAATCAATTATTTGATCATTTGGGTTGTTCAGTAGTTAGATATAATACTGTGCAGGTACCGAATGCCATAATTTGCTAGATGACCTTAGATTTTTCTGAAACCAAACTTTTCTGGCTTACAATGGAACCTTTTCAAGCCTATGCCGTGATTTCTTAGCGAATTATATAGAAAAATCAAGCCAAAAATTAGGAATTATCACTTATTTTTCTGTTGAATAGCCCGTTAAAAGAAAACTATTTGGGGGGAGAGTTCAAAGTCAACTATGGTTAACGTCAGCGAAGGAAAAAGATGCAAAACATGTACTTAAAAATTGGACTTTGACGTTAATATTTTGATATACTCGCGAGACAATCCTTGTGTAATTTGAAAATAGAGTCAATTTTTAGTCTGATTTTTAAAATTTATATTTTAAATGAAGGCATCATTTACGAAATTGCCTACAAATAAAATTTTTGCTTTCAATCGATTCAAGTTTTTCACCTTCAAAGCACAAATTAAAATCTCGTCAGTTTTACATAAAGACACAAGTACAAGTCAAGTTATTACTGATGTTTCAGAGCAGGCAAGTTATTCTTGAGAAACAATAATTTCTCCGCATTTTCCAAGAATAAAAAGCATTTAAGGCTGCCGTAGGCTTCTGTTGCTTCCGAAAACACACGCTCGCTATCAACGCTAGTTGCTGGCAAATGGAAAATGCCAAAATTTGAAATGAATAAATAATAAATTGGTGCTTTTGTTCGTAAATGGACTAACTTTCTTTGTGAGCTGTTTTAAGTCGAAAATTAAATAAAAACTGGACTACCCGTTACCCGTGCGGGTAGTTCTCGCTACCCGCAGAGAACGGGTACCCGCAAAAATCGTGCGGGTATGCGGGTAACGGGTACCCGACCCGTTACCCGCGGCAACCCTAGAGAGTACATCCTCAAGAAGAAGAAGTACGTACATTGAAAATATAAGAGTGCATACATACAGCTTTAGTTTTCAGTTGTCGTCTCTCCGTGGTTAATGTCCTCGTGTAATGTCATCATGTAATGTGTTTTCAGGGCTGAAGGAGGATTACTACGGCCGAGAAATGGGAGAAAGGCTCATAAAAGAAGAGCGAGACAGGCAAGACCACTCCTATCGGATTGGGCCCCCGTCCTCCCCCTCAGTCGATGAGAAGCGGAGTCACTCCGCAAAAATGGGACAAAGCTTCGGTGCTGGGTCTGCCAACCAGCAACAAAATCCAAATTTTGGTTACGTCCGGAGATCAACTGGTTGTGGGATTGGGAGCAGTGGTTCCGGCCTCAATGGAGGTGGGGGACACTCCTCGTCCGTTTCAAACACAAAGTATTCAATCCCCGTGTACGGAAACAATGGGAAAATGTCTCTATCCGGAATGAAGGAAATGTTGACCCCGGAAGAGTTCAAGGCCGCCCATGCTGCACTTGCCATTGCAACCGGAGGACCAACAGCTGCCCACCATCCCAGTCCGTATGCCGTTATTACCGCCACGATTGGTCAACCCAGTCCTAAAACGAGGACCAAAGTCAAAGTATCCGGTGGAACACAAACGCCCAATGATATCCATGAGATGAGCAGTAGTGGGCGTCACTCATCCCTTGGTTATCCTGGTCAACATCATCACTACTATGCGGGCAGTGGTGGTCCAAACTCACAGCAAAACCCAGAGTCAGAATACGGTTCCGTGGCGTCTTCGAGGAACTCTGGTTCTTACTCATCGTCCCGGTATGACCCCACCAATGGGAGTGGTGGCGGCGGTGGTGGTGGTAGTGGCGCAGCCTACAAATCTCTATCCCTCACAACCCCAACGGCATCACAGCTAAGTCAGAGTTTACGAGAGAGGATCCTTGGTTCTCAAAGTTTGCCCAAGGGGGCAACTGCTGCCGACTATGCAGCCCTTCTTGCCGCAATTCAGGCACAGAACCAGCAGATTTATGGGACACCGAATGCAAGCAAAGACAGAATGTCGAGATATCTTAGTTGCAAGACGATGAATGATGGCTCACTTAGTGACACCGGAGGCTACTCTAATTACAGCGAAATACAGGCCTACGCCCTGTCGTCACCAGCTGTCACGGGTCCTCCGAATAACAATGGGACGGGACCTTACCCGTGGATGAGACACAGCACCGGGTATGCGTCTTCCATCACCAGCGCACCCACCAGGCTGATGGGAGGAGGTTTGCTACTCTCTCTTTTTCACTACATGAATAATATTAAGATGCCCTTGGATGACGGGTTGATGTTCCAGTGATTCATCATCTCACACTAGTCTTCAAATGCAAATTTCTAAAATCGACAATTTAATTTCATGAGAATGTGTATTATTTGACTGAAGTTGTTACACATGTCGGATTCGCATGCTATGGAAGGAAATAGATTGCTGCATACATACAACAAATCTCAAACTTCTAGAATACCGAATGACACAATATATATAACAGTTTTTCATGTTTTCCCTTCATTTGGGATTCTGTTTACACATGCAGATTTTATAAGCCAAAGGCTAACAGTGAGAATGTATGCATGTAAGCATTTACGCAGTAGAATATTTCCAAAAATGTTTACCTTATTATTATTATGATTATTATCAGTTGTTGACTTTGTCGGCTTTCTCTCTCCATTAGGGTAGAATTTTTACTTGGATGAAGCACAGCATTTTAGATAAGCACTTTTACTCTCGAGTCAAAGTAAACTTTTTCTAGAGGCTAGAAATCTAATGCAATCTTTCAGAAACATACGGCAATATTTTACCTGCTGGTCTGGTATGCTACTTATTTGAAAATATTTGAGTACAGCAAGTATGCATGTAGGGTCAGGAAGTTGAGAATATTTCACATTGTGAAATGATGGCAACATCTTTTTATTCGAACCAAGTGGGACTTGCTGATTGCATTGTCTCCGTCAAAATCTTGTCCTGAAAAAGCCGACAAACACAAACATCACACCACCAAGCATCAGAATAGGAAGAACTCATTCCTATTACTTTTTTTCCCTTCGCTCAAGTAACTTTTCCTTCTTTCATCTTTTACTCGGGAAGAGTTGAAACCTTTGAAGTGTTTTATTTGAAGGTGGAAAAAGCGAAAGTTTGACACGAGGTGAGACACTTTGCTCGAGTTGAAATTTGAGACGTAGAAAAATATAGGATAGCCGCATCCCTACATATTCGTGACAAGCCAAGCGTCAACCAGCTTATGGGACTAGTCGCATCTATGAAGTGAAAGAAACGCTCAGATGTACACAATACTTTTAGAAAAAGATTGCAAGATTTGGACAGAATACAAATGCATCACCTACAAGAAACCTGTTTCCATTTATGATACGCACATTAAGTATGGATGGTTACGTCTCTTTATTTGTCTCTCTTGTACAATTCGCGTCGTCTTCCTCTTATTTATTGCAGCAGGAAGCATGACAGAAGCTGAGAGTATGGAGTCCCTCAGCTCATCCGCCTCCTTGGTGCAGCACAACCTCCGCGGCGAGGTGCAGGCCGCGCGGTCACACACCTTGAGTCAGGCGCGGACAAATTGCGGACAAACTGCAGCGGCCAGCCCTTCGCAAAGTCCGAGACTGAACAGAAGCAACAGCATCAGGTATGAATAAGCAAGCAGGGAAAACTAACAATATTTATATAATGACAATATAATAATTATTACGTATAGTGCAACAGTCTTTGTAACTTGTCTTGTAAATTTATCCTGTAATGAACTCGTACATGTTATCATCTCTCTTAATGATAAGTGCATGACCTAACTCTTTCTCTGAATTTCTCTGCATCCTTTTTGGAACCAAAAGTAGCCACTTTCGAGAACGGACTTTCCCCAGGTAACCCTCCAACTGTCTTGTCTTCCCTAGTTCTGATTACCCTTCTTTTCTACCCTGTAAATTACCTTGACCAATCGAACAACTGATTTCCTATCAACAATTCTCCACACTTTCTCATTGTTTATTAATTGAAACTGAATTAATTACCACAGATCCACCAAGTCGGAAAAATTGTACCCCTCCATGCTCCAGCGACACGAGGAGGCCGTGGCTGCCCAGTACTACAACTCGGTGATGGGTGGGAGTGGTGAATCTCCGATGAGCCATGTGTCAAATAGTGGGAGGTACACGCATAGCAAATTAAATCATAAATTATATTTCACCTTTTTTTAAATAACGGGATTATTTATCGTATTCTGCAATAAAAAATCGATTCACGAGGTTATCGGATTATAGTACATACATATATAAGATAAGTATAAATCATAATTGTATTTTCATAATTATTTAGATAACCTTTGGGACATGCAATTCTCATTTTTTGTCAATACAATGTAATATTATGTATGCCAAGTGGTGAAAAAAGTGTCCAAGATGGATGGGTGATTGACCTGTGAGAGAAGAAGAGGATACTGGAAATTGGGAAAATTGAGAACGTAAAAGTTCATTTCTCTGGATTTTCACTCTCTCGCATCTCTGGCTGATGAGGAGAAGACGACTCGGTCGTTCATTCCACTTCTGATTTCTTCTGATTCGTTCGTCTTCCTCTTCTTCCAGTCGGATTTCTCCTATTTTGTATTTCTCGAACTTTCGTGTCACCTTATCAGAAGGCAGGAGAATTACTTGAGTGGGTGAGGTCGACTTGACTGAAGTGTATTTACAGGTAAGTTGAACATGTGATATTTGATTTATTTATTTTTGTCAAGATTTTTTCCTCTCATTGACTGAACAATTTTTTCGTTTGTATTTTAGTAGAACTTTGGAACTTGGGAACAATGGGTCAAGGTCTCACTCATCCAATGCTGGAGTCTGCTAATGACCAGCCTGAGGCGGGTGTGCCTTATTTCGACCAAGGTGACAACAACAATACCTCATCAGAGCTTATCGAGGGACCCTTCAAGCCGTCTGCACCATCTACCTCACCGGAACAAGATATTCCTGCATCAACAATTGAACAAGCTCCGTCTCATCAGGATCAGCAGGAGATCGCGGAGTGTGAAAATCAAGATCCCCATGTGCTCAATGATGAAACCCCGTCTCAAACTAAAGAAGAAGAATCTAAACAAGAGCTAGGAACAACTGATGATATTCAAATGGATGACATCGACGAAGAAGTTGCAGGATTGATGGCAGAAGAAGAAGAAGATGAAGATGTTGAAAATGACGAAGAAGATGACGGTGTTGTTTGTCCAGTGCCTTTCCGCTGGGACGGAGCCAAGTTTAATCGGTCTGATCCCATTCCTATCCCTGAAAGCAAGAGCGGAGAGTATCGCTTTCACTCATTGACGGAATTTGTGTTCGACGAAGGCACAAGGATGTACAAATTGCCGATGGGACCCCATCCATCGATTGGTATGAACACGGAAGAGTTAGTTAACTATTTAATCGATTTTAGAAACAAACGTCCACGCTCATTGACACCAATCCCGGAAGCTAATGAGGGTGCAGATTTTTGCGGTTTGGAGTGGGACGAGGGTACGTTTCAGAAGGCTAAAAAACCAAAAGAAAATGTTGAGGAGTTGGCTGTACAAGCAGCATCATCGACGACTGATGTCAATAATAATACCATTGGAATTGCCGACTGGATCGACAACTTCAAGGATTACAGGCCTGCCGAGAATCTGCAGCCCATCACTTTCTCAACGTCCAATTTTCAGCCATATAAAGCAACTCAACAATAATTAACAATTTCATAAAAAATACAGATAATTACAATCAATATTTTGTATCAATCCCATTATTGTTAGTCATGCATTATGTGATTTCATTTAAATCTGTCCAATCAGGTGTAGTAATAAATTTAAAAGCCATGTGTTTGAGTTGTAATATGAGAAAAATTGTTTACTAAAATTATTACAAATGTATTTAAGTTTGTAAGTTAAATAATGGTCTTGTGTCAAAATTGTTAGTCATAAATAATTAATTACAGTTAAAATTTATGTGTTAATTTAGCAAGCAAATATTATGAGCAGATTCCAAATTGGAATTTTCAATATAAACTTGAACAGTTTTTATACTAATTTGGTTGTGCATTATTTTTATTTAGTATAATATTATTATTGATGTAAGACTATGAGTTCTAATCATTGCTACCAAAACAGTCATTTCGTTATATTAATTCCATGTGTCAATATTTTAGTGTATTGGGGACAATCTGTCCGACTGCATTGTTTCTAAATAATATAATTCCATGCTCCAATTCCTTCTTGAACGATAAATAATCCCATCAGTTGAATGAATTTCCTTTTTAGTAATAATCGACTTGCAGCAAGGTTTGTTAATGGATTTTGAATTATGTTATCAGATTATGCGGCAACCTGGGCGATGGATACTCATCATCGTCACCCGGACAGAATGTGCGCCTTAGCATGTCGCCATACACCAGCACCACCGGATTTCTTGGAAAAATTTCGACCAAGGAGGATGAAAGTGAGTGTCCAGAACAATTGTTGTATCAGTCATATTACCATTTTTTCTATTTTTCAGTAGTTATGTGAACCCGTATGATCTGGATAAGTCAGTTGTTGAAAGTTGGCTCTCTTGTGTGGGCATCATGACTATTGAATGAGTCAGACTTATTCTTGCACTATGCAATTCAGCCAATAATCAACAATATACAAGGAATGTATAATATGGGGACTTTTAGTCATCATTTTTTATTTATTTTGTGAATGAAATCTCTCAATTTATCTCACTTTCGTCTGAGAAACACTTTCTTTAGCGTCAGTGTCCCGGTGGTCTTCTTCTTTATGAGAGTGCAATAGTTGAATGAAGAAGATTTCAAAATTTGACATGACTCGTCTTTATTTATGATTATCCTGCATCCTTTCAAATATTTATGTGGGATTAGTGTCCTTATCCAATTTTATTTTCGCATTCCTTTCCCCTCACAGCCAACGCATCCTCGCTCAGCCTCGTGTCAACCTCGTCAATGTACAGCAGTCAGGAGGACAAGCAGGCGCACGAGGTACGGAAACTGCGACGGGACTTGGTCGAAGCGCAGGAAAAGGTCCAAACTCTCACCAATCAACTGTCGACTAATGTAAGAACTTCGACTTTAAAACAATTTCGCTTTTCATGAATGAATTGCATGCATGACAAGTAGAAAAATTCATAAAAAACTGCTCGGATGAGCATCATATCCCATTTCATAAGAAATTTCCACAACCCCACTCCTGACGGAAAGAACTTTCCGAGTGTTTACACAATCAGGAAACTTGTCTGGAAAAAGTTAACAGTTTTGATACATTGTGAAGAGGAGGATGATGAAGAAAATCAATTTGTTGTCAGTGGAATGATGGACAACACAATTTAAATCGAGTTGATGGACCGAACAGGGCAAAAAAGTTTGGTATGGCTCAAATCCTTCGTATCATCCCTAATCGCCATCATTCTCTGTCTACTTAACAAACTATTGTTATTATTGTTGGCTTCTTCTTCGTCTTCTTTAAGGTGTACGTACATAGGACGAGTGGGCAACATTGCTTGGCTTACCTTGGTTCCGACTTATCGTATTCATGCACTCCTTCCTACTCATCATATTGCTCAAGTTTATGTACAATGGCAGCATGGAATGGAGGAGTATAATCAAATTGGTGTACAAAAATTATTCCTTGGTCAACCTGGTCACGTACGTGGACTGTAATTTAGCATGGGGGAATACTTGAAGGCAGATTAATAACTTTTTGGGCCATCAAATTACACACATATCACAAGGCAGCAGCAGCATGAATGCATATATTATCTTAACGCTAACAGTTCTTAGGCCACGAATGACACGAGGGACTTGGACATTTCACTCGAAGGTGGGCAGGATGGACTAAGGCGAGCCCGTGATTTATGAGAATTATTTATAGCAATACATAGATCCAAAACCGAGGAGGATGCCGTAATACAAAAGAATTTCTTAATGATGGCGGAAAAGAAGATGTACATACAAAAAATCGATATCATCACATCGTATCTAATTCATACCCGTAGTTTCAACAGATTTATGACTCCATTCACATCTTAACAAAATTTTAATCTACATAATGCAATACCTTTTAATGGCGGATTTTCATAAGGTGGATCAAATGAAACCGCCCATTATAATTATGTTGCGTGTGATGCAATATGCAATATGCTTTAATAAATGGATACGTTTCCTAGTTGAATTTTTTTAAACTACTTTCATTTTGATCTGTTTTGACGGGGTAGAAGATATGTGATCTATGCGGTTCTTGTTTCGAGTCATGCTTGACCTTAATCATGATTACTTACCACCGGCACCATCATCATCATAATAACGATCATCATGATCACGTCGTGTAGCATAAGTTATTTTGGCCTGGAAATCAAACCTGGTTTGATCTTCGATGGTTTGCATTATGCAAAGTATCGGAATTCTGTCGTACTTGATCTCGGATTCTTAAACTATATTTATTTATGGTGCAATAAAACCTGATCATGGGAAACATGATAACCCAAAAAACTATATAAATTTAGGATATTTTATGTTCTGCGTATTGAATACATATTGAATCCATTTGAAACCTTGTGACATGAAGAAGACTTTTATGAATGCATTTGTGATAGATGATGGATTCATCTATCCGCCGCTATCAACATGATTCATCTCTGTGTAACTTGTAATAATATTCATGCTATCTCACTTGCAATCAAATCACAAGAGGTACCTACACACAATAACAAGTATAAATATAAAAGGAGGAGAAGAACCCAAGCCAAGTTTTGCAATGAACGAAACATAGATAGATGAAGATAGAAACATTATTTATAAGAAAATTTATGGCTGCATGTTCTTCATTCTGAAGAAGAAGACGCGCAGCATATTAGCATCCAATTCGCCTAAACCATTATTGCAAATTAAAGGTTAACGATGATGGATTATGGATTGTTCTGCACTAAAGAGGATGAGATGAATGTCCTGAGGAGATTTAAGTAATGCGGTTTGACCACCCCACAGGTCGATAGGAATATAAATGCTGAAATGTTAAGTTATTTATTGTACGAATCTCCATTTTTGATGGGCTATTTTTACTAAGAAAATTACGTGATTGGTTTTATGTTCCGAGAAATTGCACTATTTATAAAAAAGAACCTTTCACAACCTTATCATAGTCTGCCTCGTCTAAACAAAACATTCCTTGTTGTGCTTGTAAGAAAAGACTGCAATATGCAACGATGATACATGACTGACGGTGTGAAATGACGCTTTTCCTTAAAAGGATCCTCCATCTATTACATATTAACTCGATATGAGAGCAAGTGGTTCATTTACTTGTTTACTTTCCTCCATTGTCGTGCATAGAGATGGGTAAATTCGTAATTCAGTTGCTGCTCATTTATGTCCTCTCAGGATTACAAGGAGTTGGAATGGAGGATCAAGCATATTTTCGTAATTAGCGTAACGTATGAAATCCATCCGTTGTCATTTTGTATTATTTACACAAATGTGAAAAGACAAACAGTCGATCCGTGCAGCACTAATAATACCTCGTCCTAATCTCTGTTAATTGGTTTTCCCTCACTTACCACAGTCGTACATAAATATGAACAGCAGTCGTGTTCTCTTATCTTACCTAAAGTAACAAGCAAAACTTGGGTAACGGTTTTGACAATAATGTTACTTAATATTTTCGTATAGCAGGAGACGATGCCTGATGAATTATTACTTGGAGAGGAGCAAGGAGAGGTCTTGTTTAGCACCAAAGTGTTAACATTATGTTAATAAGTGAGAGAGAAGCATTTAAACGCAGATATTGTTTGTCTTGTAGTCCCGACGTTGGAAAAACCTCGCCATGAAAAACAACACAGGTCTTCTCGCTAGATTACTAGATTTTCGGGACAATGCAATGTAACGGAAGTTGGAAATTTTTATGACTTGTATGTATTAACTTATGCGTCGAATTGAGTGTGACACAAAAATGATGAAGGATGTCGGTTGATGGGCGAAGGGGTGCATATGTATTTTACAATTTACATCCTTGGCTAGAATGGAAACATGCAATTTACATACGCGGAAGAGTGATCATTACAGAAACGGCCACTTTCTCAATCTAGTATTTTTTTAAACTCAATTTTATTACACAGTTAATGCCCGTGAAGTTAACTTGATTTTAAGGCAATTTCTTCAGAGAAATTTAGTGATTTCCTGAAACAGCAGATTTCCTACAAGCTATTACATTAAGCCCCACCAACCAACCAACCAACTTTACGGACCCCACACAAACATACATCAACATCACATTGCATCTCCACACTTTAGTCTGCAGACTTATTTCACAAAGTAGGATTTATTGTTGGCAAAAGTTTTTCGCCGCTGCACAACCAGCCAGCCAGCCAAATTGACACAACAGGATGACACTTATCTTTTAATTTCTATAAATCATCAAATTTATCGCACATTGCGGGCAAGGATCCCAAAATCTTGCATTAGTCTCAACTGCTGTCGTGTAGTAGCAGGAGCATCTTCCTTCACATGTATCATGCCGACAAGTAACAAGATATTTTAATTATGTCAATTACCGATTTATTAAATCCGCCGTATCAAACCAACTGCTCATGCTCATGTGTCCAATTTTTTGCATCCGTTGTGTGTTGTGTGTCGTGTTTGCTTGACAAAACTAATTTGCAAAGGATGTTCGTTGTTATGAATATCAATAGAGAGAGGGTTGGAAGAAACGCGAAACGAGAAGAATTGCAGAATATGCTTGAATAAATGCACATGTTCAAACTTGAGCCATTCACTTTGTTTATACGAGACGATAACAAGAGTACGACGAGGAACGACACTTGGAATATTATTATTTCGCCCGACGACCGACCAACCAACCAACGGACGATTATCGTCGTCTTCCTTATTGTACATATGTACATCCACTTGCTAAAACTTTATTTTTATTTCATCGTACTTTACTTTTATTGCTGGTTTGAATTAAAATTCATCATGTTTGTTCCTCATGCGTACTTACGTATATGCAGTCTTGTTGATCATCATTATTCCTGTGGACTATCATCCTCCTTCAGATTGTGATTCCTTCCTTGACAAACCCACTGTCCACAAAGGCCAATCCAAGCCGTATAAATACTAGAGTTAAGTAGCGCTTGTCCAAATTAAACTCTTGGGTTACATTGGCCATTTGCTCTCCTAGTTTTTTTATACGAGGCCCAAGTCTGTTGTTTGTCTGCTCTTTGCATCTCATGAAAAATAGAAAAAAAACGTCTCTCTGGGTTAGAAACATGTGCCAGAATGCAGTTGCAGTTTTTGTCAAGTGAAAACCTAAAATAATGACGGATATAGTAAAAGGAAGTCGCAGAGATGGATGGATTCATTTTCACGCTGCGTTTTCTAAAACATTCACGCGACTTTCCGTAGTCGGATGAAATGATGTGCATCGGTTTTATCTGAAAATCAAGAACTCAAGGAGCAAAAGAAGTAGTGGAGAGATGTCGGATTTAAGTCTTGACGTGCGCCAGGAAGAATAACAAGCTATAATAAATCCATATGAAATTCTAGCAAGAACATAATGGAAACCGTTTAGTGGGCATAAGAAAAAGAAGTCGGCTAACAAATATGTACGTGGAGGATCGCGTGTGTGTGTCTGCATTGCATCATCATCATTGTCTTCTTCTTCTTGCCTTCCTTCATTTATATTTTGTCACTATTCCGACTGGCACATTGTTGAGGGGGAAGTATGCAAATTCATTTGCAACGTGTCATGTCAAACTTCTGATTTAAAGGAGTGTGCACAGTAAAAAGCGATGATTTTTTAATGAGCTAATTAGTAACAGATTTTGCAGGCGGCGGTTCCATCCATCGCATAGGGCATTGCATTGCATACTCTTTCCGGTTCTAAATATATTTGTACAGCAGAGAGATGAACAAAAGTTGTTCAAACCATTTCAGCATGAAGAGAACAGTAAAAAATTTAAGGCTGAAATGATGACTATTTGTTATTGACGAGGTGGCAAAGAGTTTTATTTATTAAGGAGAATAGAAAATATCAAGTTTACTAAATTTTTATTGTGAATTTGATC